TGCAGACGCTGGCTATTTCTGAATGATCAGTCCGAAAACTGGCTAGCCCGTGCTATATTAACAGAATATTCATATGATATTGGTCCCTAAAAAAAGAATGAAATCCACACATGAAAGGGCATATTAAAGATAAAATTAAATAAAAAGATTTAAACCTTTTAGATGCGATAGTAACACACCTCAAATATCAACAATCTGTCACCCTGGGTGGAATGATTTTGTGTCATCTCAAGTCAACAACGCAGACTTCGTTGGACGGGCATTTTGTTTGGATATCAATAAGGTTGCACGGCAATTATATATTATTTATAAAACAGGAGTTAAATAACCGAATTTATCTTCTCGATACCCTTTAATTTACAGTGATCTTTAAGGTTATAATTACATAGTTTGACTTGTCTAATAAGTATTTGGTCAGTTTAGAACTGAGTGTAATTTGAGTGTAATTAAGAGAATACAATTACACTCTCCAATTTCAACGAGGGGCGAAGAATTGATTGTAATTACAAGATATGTGATTACCAGATTAATTTTCAAATTTCTTTTTTAATATTTCTTTTACACACATATATTTGTTATACCTTAAAACTTATTTATATGTTAAATATATTAAGTGTTTAATTACTTACAGTTAGTTTTTGTTTAAAATAAAATAATAAATTACACTAGTCAATCAAATATGACTCTGAAAATTATGCTATAATTACATTATGAAAAATAAATCGGTCATTATAATCCTAATATTTATACAATCTAATAATTACACAATAATTTCCAAATAGGCCTGAATACAAGTAAGCTCTTGTCTTTTTTTTTTTTTTTTTCTGGTTTCACATCCGGTGTCCGATATCCATATTGGGGCCCGATAAATCCGGATTCGCGCCGGAAAGTCTCATATTGGGGGTAAAACGCTCTCTAAGTCAGCTCTTGTCACTCCAATATTTATTTAGCTTTCCCTAGCTATAAAATCTCAGAAGCCCCATGCTACCCTTAAAAATTATGAAAAATATTTCTGGTAATTGATGTGACAAGGTTGAGTGCCTATTAATTAAATTGTTATACATTTTCAACTATTGCTTAAACTATGGCCGAAGGCTTTCTTTCTAGATAGTCATACGTAAAGCTAGGAGAATTCATAAAACTTAACTTTCATAATTAATTAGCGTAATACTGTTTTGCTTTTGATTTAATAAGACCACCTAATTCCTTGAGATTTACGCGAGATGTTTGTTAATTATGAACAGAAATACATATCTCTTAAATATCATACCTGAAAAGTAGACAAATTGATCACTTTTTTCTTTACAAAATTTAGTAGGCGTTTGGACATAAAAATGGTATAATTTTTTTTTTTTTATAAAAAATAATATTTGAAGTTAAGTTGAAAAATTGTATTTAAAATTTAAAATTATGTTTGGACATGCATTTCACTTGAAAAAATATTGTAGTTTTGTGAGTGGAGGAAAAATATTTGAATTTTTTTTTAAGAACTCATTTTCAAAAAAACTCAAAAAACTTGCAAAATTTTATGGTCAAATATATTTTTGAAAAAAAAAAATTCAGAAAAAAAATTATGGACAAACGGGTCCTTATACAGATTACAACATTACTCCGGGGTCAGATAAGCTACTTTCTTATTATTTTTTTAGTCCATTATTTCTAGTAAAAACTAATATGTTTAATTAAAGAAAATGACTATCACTGCTAGAAATTCGGTAAAAACCGACCGGTCGGTCAAAAAATCGGCCAAAAAACCGACCAAAGTCGGTTGATTTTTCAAAATATTTTTTTTTTAATTTTTTTTTTTTACGAAACCGACCAACTTTGGTCGGTTTTCTTTGGCGCAAAAATGCGGGAAACTATTTTTGAGTTCCGCGAAATTTATTTTCAAGAAACCGACCAACTTTGGTAAGTTTTTCATTTAAAATAAATTAAAATTAATATTAAAAAGACCGACCGGAATCGATCGGTTAATTCGGCCGGTCATTTTAAAAAACGACCGAATTCGCTCGATAATTTTATTTTTTAATAAAAAAGACCGAATTCGGTTGGTAATTTTTTTTAATGATATCAACCGACATCTGTCAATTATTTTCGTGCGAAAATACAATTAAAGAGTATTAATGAAATAAAAGACAGTCTTAAAACAAAATGCACCAATGGTCTAATGGTAGAATAGTTTCCTGCCAAAGTACAGACCCCGGTTCTATTCCAAGATGGTGCATTTTTTTAATTACATAATTAAAATACCGACCAACTTCGATCGGTTTTTTCGGCAATTTTCTTTTTGAATTTAATTGACCGATGAAATCGGTCGAAAAATACCGACCAAAGTCAGTCGGTTGGCTCTACCGACTTTACGATTATCGACCGCCTCAAATCGGTCGGTTTTCGATCGATTTTTGCCAATTACCCACCAACATCGGTCGGTTTTTGCGGTCGATTTTCCCCATTTTTTTAGTAGTGTGTAAAAGAAATTGGACATTGAGGCTATATATACAGATGTTACATAATGGTTCTAAGCTGTATAATAACATTTATTTTCCGAATGCAGGTCATTGATGAACAAGTTGGGTAGTTCGGATATGTTTCATAACTTCAAAAAGGGCAATGTAGTAACTGATTTTTTAGTTAAGGAACCACTTTTCAGAAACATATTACGGCTAATGTTTGTAAAAATTTGGCTAGATTGGTAATGTTGGCGTTTTGTATAGTATAATAATTTGCATGGTAGTACTTTGCCATCCAATGGCTTGTGTGTTTGGCCAAGGATGTGGCTATTCTGGGAATGATGTAAAGCCGCATTCAGCACTTAATAAAAATATAATATTAGAAAATATATGATGTGTAAACTACAAATATAGAAATTTTTACAACATAGAGCCAAAAAAAAATAACAAGAAGTGAAATAAAATTATTTGCAATTATCATTTAAGTGATTTGACTGTGTAATATTATCGGTATGGTAAGCTCAAAATTTATTACTATAATTTAAAAATAAAACGAGAAAAAGTGAAACTACTAAAGGAAGACACATGTTCAATTATAATACTGCAATGGAGATATTGAATATCAATTTACGTAGTATCTCCTATTCTTGAAATTTTTACTATGCATCTTTCCACGTTAAGCCCGTGAAGTTTTGTTTTATGACTTCTAAAATTTTCCTTTTGCTTCTATTGACTAGAATTTCAATTAATTTATTTCCTAAGATCACGAAAAGATTACCAAAAAGTAAGATGGAAACAAATTAACAACTAGTAATTGGTTAGATCAATTATATAATCGTCATCGATTTAATAATATGAATAATAAATTGGCATAATCTCCATTGATTAGAATGTCCAAACTTGATTTTGAAATTTTAAATTACCTTCTAAATTTTCTTTATAAATATTTTATTATCATACCTATTTTTTTTTGGTAGCCTTTTAATTTAATTTCTATCATAACCTATTAATCCCAGCAGCCACAAATTACCTTATTAGAAAAATGGCACTTTAACGAATGAGATGACTACGCGATGATGTCAAAACTAATAAATCTGAATTTGAAAAGTAAATCAGTATAGGACAAATAAAGGTAAGTTACATTTGTTTTAAAGATTAAAGTGTATTCTGGTTCCTTTAGAATATTTTATACACAATTTTATATATATTTTGAAAAGTATAGAAAAATAGTTATTTGGGAATTCAACAATTCTTTTTAACTATGATTATGTTTTTGAATTTTTTTAACTATAAAATTTGTGATTTATAATATTCCCTAAGATCCAAAAGAATGACGAGGTTCAGAGTACTATCCTCAATGCATTTTTGAATTAATTTAAATATCAATTTATTATTTTTTCTATAAAACTTATATATTTTAAAACTATGTAAAGTAGTATAAATAAAAATTGTTATTCTTTTATCAAAAAAAATTCTTAAACAAAGAAAAGTATTTGACAGTAACAAACAATGATAATAGTATTTTTTTTTTAAACTAGTTGATTGCTTTATATACTTTTTCACATTGTAATTTTATTTTTGAAAATTTTAGGAACGGGTGTCTGAATTTATGGGTCAATCGGTTTTGTAACTCTTTACAAATTTCTTTTTAATTTTATGACCCTAACTCTTTATTTAAATATGGGAGATTTACTTTTACACGTAAGAGATTTGTCTTTTATACATAAGAGTTCTAAAAATGTTATTTTCTTACATTATAAATTGTAAAGGAACGGATTCAGACGGGTCAATTGATTTTTGTAACTCTTTACAAATTTATTTTAGGTTTTATGACCTTAATTTTTTTTTTTATATATGGGAGATTTACTTTTACACGTAAGATCTGTCATTTACACATAAGAGATCTAAAAATATTTTCTTAATTTATAAATTGTAAAGGAGCATGATGTACAAATAGCACCTGAATTTATACTGGAAATTAAATTCATTCATCTTCGTATTCTAAACTTTTGCAGTTTCTTATAGAACATAGAAAAGTATTAATTTTTCAAAAAAGAAGTTACTTTTTTTTAGTTGAATTAAAAAAGAAGTTACGAAATTTAAGAAGGCAAAAGGAAAATAAAGGTAGAGGAAATCCTATTATTTAGGCTTCACAAATGACCAAACTGACAAATCTTTGATTTCCCTCTAATAATTCTCCCAATTTTAATTAAACACCCCCAAAAAAAAAAAAAAAACTGACCATTTCTTTTTCCTTTCTGTTGCTATCCATAATCCTAAAATACTGAATCCAAAAACACACAAACACACACAAAACTCCTTCAATTCAAAACCTCCAAATTAGGAATGGAATTAAATTTAATTGTAATTTCTAATCATTCATTTATTTTGTTACAAAACTTCCGACCCGATAGTTTAGTCACAAAATCTGCATGTAAAAGGTTACCAGCTATAAATTTTCCCTTTAATGCTTCCCCTCCTTTACTTCCTGCAACTTTTCAGTTTTTCAGTTTCCATAATTTTGAATCAACAAAATTATTTCTATACTATAAATACACAACAGAAGAAACAGACCCCACCATCTTCTGTTTTTTCTTTTTTCTAATATTTATTTTATGTTTTCAATATATAAGTCATAGGTTTGGCCTACCCTAAACCAAGAAACATGTCACAAATTTTGTCATAGGTTTTGCCAACAGTTTTTTATATAGAAATCCTCTCCTCTCCTTTTGGAACAAATCAATTTCTTATTTTGAACCACAACCCACCTTGTTTGCTTCTTCTTTTGGCTAGAAAATAAAGGGCAGTTCTTGTTTTTGGTTTTGCACTTTTGTTCTTCCTGTTACAAATATGACCATTCAAGCGCAGTTGTATTCGGATAATCTCGGGTTTCCTTTGGTAAGTTCACAGGATTTAATGGAGAATAATGTTTGCGGATTTAGCCACTTTTACTTCAATCCTCAACATCAACAACAACAACAACAATTTCTACAAATTCAACAGCAGCAGCAGCAGTTTCAAATTCTGAACCAGAAAAATAATCAGAATTTGATGAACTTCAGTACAACTGGCCATAACACAAATTCTAACCAAACAGTGGTGAGCTTAGCCTGCCAATTAGAGAAACAGAGGCTTGAGATTGATCAGTTCATCAATTTACAGGTTATTCTTGTATCTTTTACAATTTCCTCCTTCCATTTTACATGACATTCTGTTCTTTTTAGAATTCTTTTTTTTTTAAAAACAAGAACTCAATTTTTGTTTCTACACCCATAGAAATGTTTTTAAGACCTCACTAAGGATATTTTTGATAAGTAGCAAAAAAAAAAATCTTTCCCTCTATTTTTAAATTCGTCTTCGGACAGACGCTGCAGTATAAAATGCAACGAGTAAGGCAGGAAAGGGCAGGATCATAAGGGTCTATTGTACGCAGTCTTATCTTGCATTTTTGTAAGAGGCTGTATTCACAGTTCGAATCCGTAACCCCCTGGTCACATGACAACAACTTTACCACGTCAAAACTTGCCTTCATAAAATACAACGAATAAGTTATTAAAATTTAATCAAGATTATTATTTTATAAAAAAATATATTTTTTTAGCCGCTCCCAAAAATAATAGCGAAAATGTGTATTTTTTTTATATGTACCTATAATATACATATTGTATACACTTTTTGGCTAGCGAATGTATATATACCAATTGTGTTTTGGCCAAATTTTAACTAGCGGAAAGTTTGCATTTTTATTTTTTTAGTTTTTGTATGAACGATATGCAGCAACCTAACAATTTTTTTTTTTTTTTTTTTGATAAACAGAACGAGAGACTGAGATTGGCTTTACAGGAACAAAGAAAGCAACAACTAACATTAATCTTGAGAAACTACGAAACAAAGGCTCAGTTTTTACTAAAACAAAAAGACGAAGAAATCGCAAAGGCAATGAACAAGTCAAAGGAGCTACAAGATTTCTTAAAAAGAATAGAAATGGAGAACCAAACATGGCAAAGAATAGCCAAAGAAAACGAAGCCATTGTCCTATCTTTAAACAACACAATTGAACAGCTAAGAGGAAGTGCATGTGTTGTATCAACCAATGGAGGTGTAGGAGATGCAGAGTCTTGTTGTGATGTACAACCAATGGAGTATAACGTACAAGAGACACAGCAACTGAGTCTTGAGACAGGAAATGAGGAACAAGATACGAGAAAGATGATGTGCAAAAGCTGCAATTGTAGGAAATCATGTATTGTTTTCTTGCCTTGTAGGCACCTTTGTTCATGTAAAGATTGTGACCCTTTTCTACATTCATGTCCTGTCTGTAGAATTGAGAAGAAAGCAAGTATTGAAGCTTTGATTTGATCTTCTCTTATGAAAATGACTAGTGTTTCTTGTTTCCAAGAAAAAAAGTTAAAGTCACATTTCATCATAAGAGGGTAAATGAACATTGGGTTGGGAGAAAAGGTCTAGGGGTGTTTGTTGGTCCGCACGAGATGCTAAGTATTTGGATATTTCGGTTCAGTATTTTGGTAGTCAGTCGGAATATTAAAGGGGTGTTTAGTCGGGCAAAAAAGTCACTCTATATTTCATTGATTTCTTTGATAATCTTGTATTTTCTGTTCACTTACTATGGGATTCATCTATTTTTTTACTCTATTTTTCTATAACAACAATACAACTCAGTGCACAAGAAATTTCGTATTCATGTAAGGTCTTGGAAGGGCTGCACCTCAAAAGTGATATGTAGGGAGAAAATGGTGTTGTGTTGGTAGAAAAGTCATTCTAAATTCATTTATTTCTTTTACAATCTTGTATTTCTGCTCACTTATTAGGGGGATTGTATTTGTTCTTTTTTTATAACCGTCTAGCATTTAGCATCTATTGACTCGATTAATTCAGATTCGAGACACATTAAAGGGGAATTTAATTCCTAGACTCAAACCAAACTCTAATTAAAGATGGTGTTGTCGGAATTTTTGGGATTTTTTTTTTTAAATATGCCACTGAACTTAACAAAACAATTCACATGTGCCATTCGTAGGTTGACGTGAGAGTTTTTTTTTTTTTTTGGTAATTAGACAATCTTTATTACCAAGTAAATATGTACAAGTATAACAGTAAACTAAGTTTGGACATGCAGCCCAAACTCAATGCAATCCTTCTATTCTAACAACTCCTAAGGATAGAAATTTAATTTTTGAAGTTCATTCCTTAAGCTACTCTGCCCATTTTCTATACAATGTATCTCCCGTATTATCTGTCTTGTGATAGCTTCACTACTTCTCTTTTCCTGCTGAAAAAATCTTCTATTTCTTTCAATCCATATCTGGTAAACAACACTTGTAATACACATCCTATAAAGCATGGTTTTCGACTCTTTGCCTTTCATATGATCTGCTGTCCATTTGAGCTCCTCATTCCAGCCAGTTACCCTTCGTACCAGTCCTATCCATGCTAACAGCTTCCCCCATACTTCTGCTGAGAATCTACACATAAAGAACATGTGCTGATGACTCCCCATCTCTTGATCACATAGTGGACAGTTTGGATTAACTTGTAATCCCCAGCTGTTCAATCTGTCTTTGGTATATAGCTTCTCCTGTACAGCAAGGTATAATATGAACTTCCACCTTGGACAACCTTTGTTATTGCATAATAGTCTGCTCCAATTTTCCTTTGGGAAATCTCCTCTCAATTGATTGTACATTACCCTGATAGAGAATGATTTTGTCCCTGACACCTTCCCAATATCCAACCTTGCTTCATTTATATATTTCCCAGCCTGTAGTATCTTTCTAATTATCCATGAAGCTTGCTTCACTTCTACTTGCATGGAATCTTCCCCTTTATATAGTAAACATGCACCCACCTTATCCACAGTTTGTCCTTCTTCATACAAATATTCCAGAGGTGTTTTAACAATGCTGCTCTATTCCACGTACTGAGATCAGTGATGTTTAGTCCTCCTTTGGATTTAGGCCTGCACATCTTCTCCCGAGCTACCAGAGCTTTCTTACTTGCATTGGTGTCACCAGTCCAGAGGAATCTTCTGCAAATACCTTCAACCATCTGTATAATTTTCTTTGGTAGTGGAAAGACCCGTGACCAGAAAGTTTGGATGGCAATTAACACATTCTTTATCAATTGTAGTCTTCCTGCATAACTTAAGAATTTTACTGTCCATTGTTTGACTTTCCCCAGCATTTTATCCAGTTGAGGTTGGCACTGGCTCACTGACAGTCTTCTTGAGCTCAAAGGAACTCCTAAGTATCTAAAAGGAAGTGCACCAATGGTAAAACCAGTAGCTTGAATAATATGTCCTGTTGTACTGCTGTTGAAACTCCACCAAAATACATGCAACTTTTACTTTGGTTTGCAACAAGTCCAAAAGCTTTTGAAAAACTGTTGAAACATTCACATAATAGCTGTATAGACATCACGTCACCTCTACAGAATAGCAGCAAATCATCAGCAAAACTGAGCTGGACAATGCTCAGTTTCTAACATCTTGGATGACAATTGAAATTAGGTTCCTCCTTCAACTGTTTCAAGATTCTAGTCAGGTACTCCATTGCTAATACAAACAATAGTGGTGACATTGGATCACCCTGCCTCAACCCCTTTTTTGCTTCAAATGGCATAGTAGGACTACCATTAATAGAGATGGAGTAAGATATAGTTCTGAGACACTCCATAATCCATCCTATAAATACTTTGGGGAAACACAACCCAGTTAATACCTGCTCCAAAAACACCCATTCAATTGAGTCATATGCCTTTTGCATGTCAATCTTGATCATGCATCTAGGTGAGACCCCTTTCCTACCATAACCTTTTATTAGTTCATGACTGAGCAGTACATTATCTATCAATCCTCTTCCTGGAACAAAGGCTGCTTGACTCTCATCCACCAGTGTATTCGTCACTTGCCTCAATCTACTTGTTAACATTTTGGATATGATTTTATATAATGTAGTGCAACATGAGATAGGTCTATACTCTCTGATTGAACTTGGGTTTCTTACTTTAGGTATAAGGTTGACTACTGTGTTATTGATAGGCTTATACATTCACCCAGTAGTAAAAAACTCCAGTACTACAGCAACAATATCATCTCCAATAATATGCCATGCTTTTTAATGAAGCATGCATTAAACCCATCAACCCCCGGTGCCTTCATGTTATCTATACCTCTTAGTGCATCCATTACATCTTCCTTTGTGAAAGGAGTAATGAGCTGCAACTGCTGCCTTCTAGTTAGCACTGGTCCATTCCTTATCCAGCCAGGATGAATAGCTGGTATGCTGCCCCTTGCAGTTCCTAACAGATTTTTATAAAACCCAATCACTTCTGCTTCAATACTCTTCCCATCTGTCAACACATCCCCCTTACTATTAGTGAGCTTTGTAATTTGATTTGTGCTTTCCTTCCTTTCATGCAAGCAAAAAAAATAGTCACTGTTAGTATCTCCCAGCTTTAACCACTGCACTCTTGACTTTTGCTTGTAGATGGACTCCTCAATTTTATCCCACTTTTCTAGTTGTAGTAGTAGTTCATTCTCCTCTTCAAACGGATTACTTGTTGGATTAGCAATCTTCATTCTGCCTTGTATATCATTTAGTTCCTTCCTTATGGTAGTTATCTTCCCTTTGATATTCTTAAACTCCATATTATTTAATTGTTTCAAAGCAGCTTTTATAGGTTTCAGGTTCCTCCATACAGCTTCCATACCCCCATTCCTCATTGTCCAGTTGCTTTCCACAACCTCCCCAAAGTCAGGGTGATCAGCCATATAATTATAGAATTTAAAGGGCCTTTTCTTGTTATCACACCTTACCTATACCTCAGTCCCCAGTGGAGAATGGTCTGAGAAAAGAGGATTCAGTATTTGAACTTGACTAGGAGGCATATTAATCATCCAGCTGTCATTAACTATTGCTCTATCAATTCTACTACACATGACCATTTGTCCATGTATATGTTTTTCCCACTGTAGGTGATTCTACCAAACTACAATCTTCTATAACTTCTTTAAAATCTCTTGTTTCATTATCCTGAACTTCACTTCCATGCATTCTGTCCTCAACCCCTAAAATAGAGTTAAAATCTCCCATCAGCAACCAAGGTCCATGCATTGCCCTGTTAAGTTCCTAATTACCTCCCATAATGATTTCCTGTCTTGCACACTATGTAGTCCATAGATTGCTGAAAAGTAAAACTCCTTATTAATCTTCAGAATCTTCACACTACCATGTATAATCTGAGAATGTCTCTCTAACACTGTATACTGCAACACATTTGGATTCCATATTACCCAGATTCGGCCTTTACATGTATTTGACACATTATGACTCCATTCCCATCCTGGTAGTACTTTCCCAATTATTTTAGCTGCTTTTGTATCTTTTACTCTATGCTCACATAATGCTATCATATCTACTTTATTATCCTTCATAAACACCTTTAACTCCTTGTGCTTAAACACTTTATTGAACCCCCTTACATTCCATGTGACTATCATGTTGAATTTAAAGTGTTTTGTCCCATCCTCTCCACCTCCACCCCTCTACTTGTACTACATTTAGCTATTCCTCTTGTTATTTGTTCTTGTCCTATTTCCACTAGGCTGTTGAAACCATTCATACCTTGAATACATTGCCCAGCTTCCTGTTTTCTTTGCCCTTTTGTTGTAGATTTGCTTTTAACTTGTTGCCAGTCATCTCCACCTTTTTTTTCAATGTTCACTTGTTGCTTATCAGTTTCCTTTTGTACCTCTTGCTGATGCTGGTTTTGTAATCCAGCTTCTTTATTGATAGGCCTCCACTCCGTTCTCTGCTTTGCCACTGTCTTCTGTTGTTGTTGTCTTGTTTTCATCTCACCCCCTCCTGTGTTGATCTGCTTTTGTTGACAATTGTGGCCTATTTGCATACATTTTGAACAATATGTAGGTTTCTAGTCATACCATATCTCTTGTGTCATGATTCTGCCCTTTGGATCTTTTATTTTAATAACATTTGGTAACTCTTTAGTAACATCAACTTCTATCAATATCCTTGCATATGAGATTCTCTCAGTATTTGAAGTACAGGCATCAGCATATATTGGCTGGCCGAAACCACTACCAATTTTGCTCAATGCACTTGCACTCCAACAACATAGAGGTAAGTTAGGTAGCTTGATCCAAATGGGAATTGTCTTCAAGTCCTCAGCATCAAAGTCGAATTCAACAGTCCAAGCCTTCATAATAACTGGTCTATTGTTAAGCATATGTGGCCCTAAATACATCACCATGTCCCTTTCCTCCAAACATGAGAAATTAATCACAAAATAACCAGCATTATGACAATATATTTTTGGTTTCATTG